GATGTGCAGCAGTGGGTCCCTCAGTCTGTCCTCACTCTGGACACTTGCAGTTGTTACACATGGAAGTCAAATGTGTGATAAGCTGCAGGAGTAAGTGTAACTTATAAATGAATTTTCATACTTTTATTCCACAGTCAGAGAGAAAGAAAAAGAGAGAGAGTGCAGGACAGACAGACAGGTGACAGTCTCAAGTGTATACACTGCTACAAAACAGCACAAAAGAAGGAGGATTGTGTTATTACGAAACAAGAAGAGTTCCCAGATGGTACAGTGGACACATGTGTGATTCCTGTGATTAAAGCATCTTTCTTTCAGCTTAACGACTGAACCGTCAGCTCGTTCAAACACACGTTAAAGTCCGTTTGGCTTGACACCACCGAACAGAGGCAGCAATATAACATAGCTAACATTAACAGTGCAGTGAATCCTGCTTGTGCCGTGATATTCAGGACTGCAAACCGAGCAGCATCACTGACTTTCAGCTTGTTGTGTTTGTGGATATATGACTGACTTTAATTATCCATAAAATCATCACATTCTCTGTAAGATTAAAGTCAACTATTGAACAGCGTATATTTTGAAGTAAAGGCTTTAAAACCAAGTTAGTACAAACATCGCTAATGTCACATAACTTTCCTGACATGTGGCCAACAGTAATGTTTTAATGTTCTTCATTATAAAAACATTTGCGCATAAATAAGTGACATAATATTCAGTACTTACTTCAGAAAGTTTACTCTTTGGCGGCTCCACTTCCGCCGTTTTTTTTGGCAAAATTATCCACACCACCGCCACGCTATGAAGTCTGGGATATGTTGGGCCATGAAGGCTACACCGACCCATCCTTAAAATTCAGGGAAATTAAGGACGCATTTGAGGGCCGCATTTCGAGCAGCCTTTGAATTGGGACAGCCTTCATTGTGTCGCTGTGACGTAATCGGCCTTAAATACGGCCTTTAAGGCTGCAGACCCTGAATTGGGATACAGCCCAAATCTGGTCATTGGTACTTCCTGGCTTGTGTAGTTACTAGGTAACTATTCCTATTTTCAAGCTCTTGAACGAAGAAAACAAGCGTCCATTTTTCCTTTTCCAGAATTGACCTCGTAGCTGATTTAAAGCAGATTTAATCACATATTTGAAGATTTTATTTGTGTGTTTGTTCCACAATTATTATTATTGTTGTTGTTGTTGATTCACTTCATTTTAATATAGGGTTCAAAGCTGGTTTCCTTCTTTTAGCTTAGCTGTTATTATTAAAATATTAGTTTTCTATTTTTTATTTATTTATTTATTTATTTTTTTGCCTGTCCCGTTTGGCTCTTTTGCCATCAGAAATATTGTCTAAAGGCGAAGAAAGATGCCCAACGGATTTACTTTACCA